CTTAATCTGAGGGAAAATTTTTATTCAAAAACACTTATTGAGCACCTAGTATGATCTACAATGGGCTTAGATTCTGGGGCTGAAAATTAGTACTAAAATAGGCTCTCCACACTTTAAAAAGATCATATTGCAGGGTAGAAACTACTGCATTTAACTATTTAAAGCATAGAATATGGACCACAAAGTCCTTAAGATAGAGAAGTTCAGGGATGTGGTAACAAACGAGTCGTCTTGAGCCATGAGTAGGTATTTACCTAGCAGAGAGAGAGGAGGGTTTCTAACCTGGAAACAGGATGTGCAAAACTATATGGTATGAGACCACATATTTTATATATATATATATATGCATTTGTAATCTGGCTTAATCAAGTGGAAGGCCTTTTATGCAAAACTAAGCAGGTAGTTTCTAGTGATGATATGGGTCCTTTGCACTGGACATTTTCAGTCATCTCTAATCACTATGAAAACATCAAACATTTAAAGAATTGCATCTGTGCTGAGAGGTTAAATTAACTTCAGTTGCTTAGTTTAGTTTAGAGAACGGACCTTTCTATGAGACGTTGCTCTACAGAGACTAGTGACCATTTATTTTCAATTTTCACTGAGGACAAAGCAAGAATGAAAAAGGCTTATATCTCACGAGAAAGGAAAATTATCTACAGAAGGGGTCCTTCACAGATAGACTGAGTGTGACTGATCATTAAGATGTTGTTCCAGGCTCTGAGGCTATGTGAAAGATTCCATGTAGTCAAACAGCTCAATTTCAAAAGTATGGCAATCCTGACAATATTAGGCTTAGATAAGGGTATTGGAATAAAGTGATCTTTTAAGTATTCATTAATTATTCATCTATTTTTCTGTCTACCTAAGTAAAGTTTTAGTTATGTATTTTAAAATGCAAAAGATAGATATTATCTTTTGTCATATAGCATTTATATTCATTTAAATGAGCCATGAACTGAGCTCGCTATGGAATCAGGTGTTGTTCTAGTAACGATATTTTGTATTCATGTATCATTTCAGAATGTTATTAAAAATTAGGAAGATAGAATTCATTTAATTTCACTTATTAATCTTTGTGTATAACATTTGCAGGTCAGACAACTGCAATTAAAACTCTTTATGGTTTATTAACTTGCTGCTCTTGGTTATTGCAGTGATTCTCATTTTCTTGTTTTCATCCACTAAGTCAGCTTATTAAAATACAGAATTTTTTAGCTTTTCAAACGATTTGTAATTTCTGCTGTTATTCTGTTTTTATTGTTTGGATATATGTACAAAATAGAGGACTCTGGGTTATTAATATTCTTTGCCCTTCTGCATCTCATAAAAAGAAAAAAGGTGTCTGTCCTGTGCTCTGTCAAAGTCCAGCTTGAGAGAAATCAGAAACACAGATAGGGATGCTAAAAGGCATTTCATTTATGTCTAAACAAACCTTGAAATGCTTACAGTATTTGAGACTTAAGCAAGCTGGGAAAGTATTGTTAAGATAGTCAATGTTAATATAAAATTTTAGTATGCTTTCAAGCTAACCAGATATCAAATGGAGATCAATTTTATTTCTGAATGTACTAGCCCAACTACTTTGAAAGCAATTTCATACATACTCAGATTAGATTACTTTTGTTGCACCCCCAAGAGTTGAATATATCCAGCTAGTGTACGTAAATTATTGGATGGATGTCACTACCTAGTAGAATCATTTGAAGTGAGTGTTTAGTTGCTTTCTTTGCTGGAAACAATACAACAAAGTCTGAGATAGACTATTGTCAATGTGTGAACAGTATAGATAAAGACCTGAGGATATAAAGTAAATGTGATACACTAGGAAAAAATTTTTTCTTACTATATTTTAATATTATTGCTTTTAAAAGAATTAGCCTATGAGGCTGGAGAGATGACTCAGCAGTTAAAAGCACTGTATGCTCTTACAGATGACCCGGGTTTGATCCCCAGCACCCACATGGTATCTAACAACCTTCCGTAACTCCAGTTCCAGGGGATCAGATGCCTTCTTTTCAACTCCACGAGCACTGCACGATACACATGCAGGCAATACACTCATACACATTAAAAAATAAAATAAAAAAAGAATTATCGTAAAGGTCATACATATAGAGGCACATTAAAAGGTCATTTATTTGTCATGATTTCCTGCCAGTTTAAAATACTTAAATGAACTATGTGAGGATTTCTCACAAATAAATATTACTACACAAATTAAGCAGTTTGTCTCCCAGATCAACTAAAATATTTCTCAGATTGACAAGAGAGGCACTTGTACATGTTTGCCCATGCTTTGAAGGGAATCGTATGGTTCTAAATAAGCTTGTGCATATTCTGTCTGGAAACCCTTCGGATTTCATCAGATATACTATGGTGTTTGCTTAACTGAAATGTTAATGTATATTTAGTTTTGTAAAGTGTAACCATTGATTTATGCTTAATTGTATAACAGAGCTAGATTGTTAGTGGGACTGATACCAAATAAGTAATAATAAAAACTATTTCTGGGCTGGCTGGGGAAGTGGCCCAGTGATTAAAGTGTTTGCTGGACTAGCATGAGAACCTGAATTTGGATCCTCCAAAGGAAATACTAATGATACTAATACTAATACTAATATTAATATTAATACTAATACTAAATCAGGCAATGTGCATCCTGTCAGTAATGCTCAGAGCTTGGAATCGGAGATGGGGCGGGGTGGGGGGAATACTTAGGATGTGCTGGCCAGCCAGTCTAACTGGAACGCCCAGATTGAGATTCAGTGTGAGTCCCTGTCTCGATAAATAAGCTGATGAGTAATAGAGGAATACACCCAATATTGAATTCTGGCCTGAACACGTGCACACACAGGGAAAGGTACACACATAGAAGCACACACACACACACACACACACACACAAGTTCTGCAAATTAAATGCTTTAAGACAGCATGCCAAAAGCTGAAGTTTTTAATGCAAAAAAAAATTAAAAGTCCAAGACAAAGAAAAAAAACCAAAATGATCCATAAAACTGGTATGTGAACACAATGCCATTATTTACATTTCTGTGTTTCATTTTCAGTATTACCTATGTGCATTTGCTAAAACTATCATATACTGGTACGATTTGTTGTTCTGTATAGTAGATGAGAGTTTCTTTTCCTTTTCTTTGTATATTTGTTTTTGCTTCTGTGGTATTCAAAAAATAAATTTAATCTTCCCTTTTGGAAAGGAACTTTCCTGAAAATATCCTCAACAACTATTTTTTTTTAGAATTTTCGCATTTCAGATGTTAAGTTATAAGGGAATTTTTTTTCTTTTTTCTTTGAAATGTCCAGAATACTGTGAAATGGTGTACTTTGTGAGCATATAACACACAAATCCCAGCTAAAGAGTACTCTTTAGGGACCAGAGCCTCCCATTGATTCCTCTATAGCTCCTAGCCTTACTTAGAATAAACTGCCTTTGAGGTTCCTGTAGCTTTTTGTTCCTTCACCTTGCCCTTGGATTGTCTGAGTCAGCCTTGTAAACAGTGTTTGCTGGATAAGTGTGAGTACAACTTTTTAAATATTTTGCTGGGACTGGAGAGATGGCTCAGCAGTTAAGAGCACTGACTGCTCTTGCAGAAGACCCGGGTTCCATTCTCAGCACCCACATGGCGGCTACAAACCATCCTTAACTCCAGTTCCAGGAGAATCCAAAGCCCTCTTCTGACCTCCCCAGCATTGCACAACACGGGTGCACTCACATACATGCAGGTAATACATTCATACACATAAAATAAAAATAATAAATAAAATATTTTAAATAATTTGCCTAGGCAGAATATGGTATTTGAGAAATTATCAATAAAATAAGAATAATGGCAACTTGAGCTATCAACATTACGCTTCCTCTGGCCATTTGTTTACATGGATTTACAAGCCATGAGAATAATAGTCTTCACAACTGTTCACATCATAGGGCTGTAAATAATTGATAGAGAGATTTAGCACAAAATAGGTTCCATATGATCCTGATTTCATAAATGCTGTGATTTCTTTCTTACCAAAACAATAAGGAATAATTTATTCTGTAATTACCTAAATATTCACTGAAGCCTTTCTTTAACCTGTTTGTGAAGAATACTCATTTATTCTAACCGAGTAATCCATAAAGCCAAAAATCCTGAATCAGTATATCAGTGTATAAACCCATCACCTAAGGATTATAGAATGAAAACATCCAGTAGAATGAGAAAAACATGGTACTTTGTGCAACATTTATGAATTGTTCATAAGTAAATCCTTGATTTCATTTGCAGCTAAATCTGGAGCAAAAGATATATTAAAGAGAACATGAGATGCGCCTATATCTCTGGCCTATATTTTATAGATTTTTATTACTGTTACTGAGATATCTTTTGTAATGTCCAAACAAGTAATACAATATTAAGCAGATTTTTTTTTGTTATTTTCATGAGTCTTTGACCTGATTTTTTTCTATAATTCTGGATGACAACATCTTTGTGAATTATTTTTTGATGGTCTATGCAAGTAAAAGAGGGTAAAATATGCTTAGTCTTTTATGTTAATTTACATCAGTGATGGCTAGAAATACATATAATCGCACAGATGAAGCTAGCTTTCAAGAATATATTTTTCATAATCATGGAGAGATGAGAATGCTGCTAATATCATCACACATTAGGTTGGGATGTTACTGTAAATATGAACATTTTTCTTTCATAAAAATAATACTTCATTTTGACATACTGATTCAGACTTAAAACTATAGATTAACATTTAATTTGGAACTTACTGGATTTTTGCCACCTTTTAAAAGTATTGAGCTTATTTTAAGGAACAGACTACCCTTCTACTGCTATTGAGAACTTACCTCCAAGTTAATAAAAGTTCAAGTGAGCATTAGAATGAACTGAATTCATTTGTCATTTAACTTGTTTAAGAAAATGTCTACTTAATTAATAAAATGAATTATTATTATTATTGTTATTATTATTATTTTCCTTCCAGATCAGAGATACAAAATCATCAGATCAAAAGACAACCCTTTTGCATTTTCTTGCTGAAATCTGTGAGGAAAAATATCGAGATATCCTGAAGTTTCCTGAGGAACTTGAACATGTAGAAAGCGCAAGCAAAGGTAATTAATTAGTAATTCCGTTTAGCGTATGCTCAGCCTATGTATGTTATCTTAAATTATATTATTAAATAGCATTGTAAATATGATCAATTGCAGAATGCTTTATGAGTTATAAGCAAAGCAGAGTAATATTTTCCATTAGTTTATATTTGACAGTGCTGTGCATTTAAGTTACCCATGTTCATCTTTGTTTTTTAACTGATATGTTATAGGAAGTTTTGTACCTTTAAATCAAGTGATATGTTCTATTCTTTAACTTATTTAGAACTCAAATGTGTGTTATAAAAGAACCATACTGCGTTCTTTCTGTTTATGTTACAATGCTTGTAAGATGGTATTGTATAGCTCACTTTTAGATAGTACTATATAGCTCAGTTTTGGAATACTTTTCCAGCATGCACAGGGCCTGATATTCAGTCTCCAGTTCCACACACTCATGAAAAAATCTTAAAAGTTGGAAAAGACATACATATAAAATACACATGTACAAAAATACCTCATATAACAAGGATGAGTTTGAGAAGTTTGTGTGAAAAGATAATTTTCCATAGTTGTGATGAAGAATGAGTAAAACATGAGGATGAAGTTTAATAAATATGATAAATTTCAGATATGCTTTCCAGAGATAACACAACAGGAATAAGGTAAAATAACAGAATCCTAGTCCACAATAAGGCTAGAGGAATAAGGTAGGTACCCTGGAAAGCACAAAGGCAGAATCAGGGGTCTGAAGTTGATGGTCTCAAGTATGCAAGGAAGCCTCATGAAAAGGATAGAGAGGATAACACTGAGGATCAGGAAAAGGGAAGCAAAACATTTGTAAGATTTCAATGCAGTGTGAGTAGCTTTGTACACTTCCAAATGATTAAACAGGAAAAAGAAGATTGTTCAAGGAACCCTTTTTCTGAAGGTTAGATTATATTTCTGCTATGTATTTTTTCGTTTAAGATAAGTGAAGTGTGCACTGTAACTGATTTCATTCTGTGTCTGAGACTTTAAGGGCCCAAAACCATGTTTCTGCAGCTAAATGTAAACCTGTTAGTATCCTTTGAAAGAAGAGTCAACAAAACCCAGAATATCATTTGTGAACATAGTTCTCCTCTGCTTTGCTATTGTCAGTCAAATCTTCATCTTCCCCCACCCTCATTGTATTTTGTGCTATGATCTAAGGACCAAGATTAAGTGATGAAGACACATTATGACCCCGTGGTATTATGTATTTTCTTTCCTGATTATATTTACTTGAAATGTAATAGCAGTATTGTGATAATCATTTTCTAAAGACCTTCTGTTTCTACTTCCCTTCAATTTAAAAATATGACTTCTGGGGCTGGAGAGATGGCTCAGCGGTTAAGAGCACTGAATGCTCTTCCAGAGGACCCAGGTTCCATTCCCAGCACCCATATGGCGGCTACAAACCATCCTTAACTCCAGTTCCAGGGGAATCCGAAGCTCTCTTCTGACCTCCGTGGCATTGCACAACACGGGTGCACTCACATACATGCAGGCAATACACTCATACACATAAAATTAAAGTAATAAAGTATTTTTAAAAATATGGCTTCATAACTTTAGGTATTATTGAGTCCATGACTAACAAGTAAAATTAGAAAATTGCATTATTATTTGCAGTATACAGAATATTCAAATCAGCCAGTTCAGAAAATAGTTCATTTTGGGGTATTTTTAGCACAAGTTGTTATTGGTCAAAAGTTCCACGGGTTGGGTTGATGTTTCTTACCCGTGTTCCCGTATCTAGGATGGGATTTTATATGGTTTGAGCTTGTATAGGATTTGTATATCCTGTCACCACTGCTGTGATTTCATAAGCGTATCTGACCAGCTGTCTGGAAAACTCTGTTTCCTTGTGGTCATTCATACCCTCTGACTCTTACAATCTTCCAGGTTGCTCTTCTGGAAGGATCTCTGAGCCTTAGGGGGAGGCAGAGGTTTCAAATAGGAGTCCTTTTCATTGCTAAGAACTCTGTGCCTCTTGTACATTGGCCAATTGTGGGTTTCTCTGTTAATCAACATCTTCTGTATAAGAAGACTTCTCTGGTGAAAGTTGAGAGATGCATTCATCCTATGTGTAGAAGTTGCATTGAAAATGTGTCACTTAGGGTTAAGCATCTCGCAGGTACTTATTCTCTGTGTTTAACCAGTTCTGGAACTCTGTAATTGTCTCCATCAGTTGCAAAAAGAAGCTTCTTTGATAAGTGGTGAAAGATACACTTGTCTATAAATATGAAGATGCATATTTAGAATAAAGAGATTACTTTGGTCTAACGATGTGGCAAATGTAGGTTTATCTCTAAGATCTGTGACCCTTCTGGTCATGTATATTTGGCTGTGTTTATGGTACCACGCATAAGTTCACTCCCATTCAGCAGACCTTAAGTCAAAGTACACAGTTGTTGATTATCCCCAAGATAAAATACCACTACTACAGCGATACTGGGCCAGTCATCATTCTTTATTAGGCCTTACAGACGAGTAGCAGTAGCTTTGATTTTTTATTCTAAATAACTGCTGATTAGTATGTATGTGTGTGACTTATTCTGATTTATGTTTCTATAATAGAATACCACACACTGTAATTTATGAAGAACATAGATTTACTCCTTACAGATTGGTAGATTGGGAAGTCGAATATCAATTGGTTGAACCAAATGAAAGCAATCTTGCTATGTCACAACGTGGTAGAAAGCATCACATGAGGAGATAGAAAAAGAGATAAACCCTGCAGATTCTTGCTCTTTAAAATTAGTATTAGTCCGTATATGAGAGTGAATCCCTCATGATGTAGTCACCTGCCACTAGGTCCTACCTTTATGGCTTATTGAAGGAATGCATTTATATCATAGAAGTGTGTATATGTGTATATGGAGTTATACAAATGATTTAATTATTTAACTATTTGTATAGCCATACAGCCATATGCTACATAGTATTATTGTCAGTGATAGATTGGACTTCATATATAGCATTTTTCCCATAAGTTAATATTACCTGCTGTTCTAGGTTTCTTTATGTTGCCGTGATAAAGCACTGACCACTAACAAGTTGGGGAAGAAAGGGTTTATTTCATTTAACAGGTTAAAGTTTATCATTGAGGGAAGCCAGGTTTAAAACTCAAGGAAGGAGCATATAGGCAGGAACACAGAGGTAGGAACTAAAACAGAAACCATTAAGGAATGATCCTTCCTGGCTTGCTCTCTGGTTCTCTGTCCACCTAGTTTTCTTTTATACCCCAAGCCCACCTGCCTAGGGATAGTACTACCCACAGAGGTCTGGGTCCTCCTTCATCCGTTAGCAGTTAAGGCAATATCTCACAGACAAGGCCACAGGCCAATTGGTTCTAGGAAAGTCTTCAGTTGAGGTTCACTCTTCCCAGGTGCCTCTTTGTATCACATTGAGAACTGAAGTTGACTATGACACCTAGTGATGTCAGACATCTTAGAATGTAAAAGCACACTCTAGAATGTTCACACAAAAAGAAAGTCATCTAATAACCATATACATTTTAATGGTTATTACAACCAGTGAAGTAGACTATAATAAAAGCCCTTTTAGTAAGCTATTTTAGATTTCTCATTTTAACTGTATTTCTTACTGTTTTCATAACATTGAGATAGCAATTAAGAGATCCATGTTTTTGCTTCATCAAGAAATGTTAAGATTAAATAAACATATACAAAGCATCTAGTAAAATCCTTGACATACAGTAAGTATATAGTTTTTCTTATACCACTTACCAGTATTCATAGTAGTATTAGTAATAGCAGTAATTGATACACTACTAAGCATATTGGAGTGTTTGCAGTGATAGATTAAACAGGCATGATCTTAAATATATCTAATAATTCTTCAAATTTAAGATAAACATGCCTTATATTCAGTTTTGTTTGTTTCATATGCCTGGGCTTTTTGAAAAAAAAAAACTTTCATATTTTCCTTTACAATACCATTATCTTCTGTTTCCCTATATATTTCAAGAGCTAAACCTATCCATTCTATTTTTTTATTACTTCTGCTTCATGTATTGATCCTGCCAGTGTAATCACAAGACTGTTGCCAAATATCCTATTCCTATTCCACTGTTTGGGCTTCTGCAATCCCCATGCTGAAGTTACTTTGACTAGTTCTTTTTCTGTCCCTACGAAATTCAAAGAGTTATCAACTCAAAAAGTTCTTAAGCACTCTCCTAGACCACTTTCATTTTCTTCTTGTTTTCATTTCAGTGTACTCAGACAGATGTTCTCTTGAGCCATTTTTATTCCTTTATAATAATCCTGTCTGTGTGTACAATTTCATCCTGCATCCTCTGCCTGGGAATCTCACTTGCCCCATCCTCTAAGACAACTGACTGTCATTTGTCAAATCACTGTTCAATATCCCTTTCCCTTTTTTAAAAAGTTCTTATTACCAAAGCCTAAGGAGAAAGTACTTGTAAGTTTAGTTTACAGGAAGAAACAAAATGGCAAAAGGTCAAGCCACTTACCTCTTACTTATAGTTAATTTTTTTCCTTAATAGCTGAGTCTAATTTGTCTTGCTTCCTTAACATGCATTTCAGCCTCGTTTGAGTCAAATTCTCTCACCTTCAGTGTTGTTTTAATATACTTCATGTATAATATTCACACTCTCCCAGTGGAAATAAAAAATAGATCAACACTATATAATTAATTTGTTTTTGAAAATGGAGCAACTCCTTGTGAAATGATCCCCTTCTCTTCAAAAAACAAATGGAAAAATCAGCATCTTTAAAAATACAAAGAGGAGAGTCAACACAGAGGAAAAACTTCCTCCATGCTTCCAAGCGAAGCCAACCATGGTCGAGCAGGACCTTTGACTTATCTTCACATAGACAGAACTGGTAAAAGAAAGGAGCCAGGGGCTCCTCCCAAGCCCATGTGACCCCTGAGGAACAGATCCTCAAACGAC